GTGTGTGTGTGTGTGTGTGTGTGTGTGTGTGTGTGTGTGTGCGTGTGTGTGCGTGTGTGTGTGTGTGTGTGTGTGTGTTCCCTGCCTAAGAGCAGTTTCATCATGTCAGTCTCACTCTCAGGAATGAAGAGGAGAGGCGGAGGAGGAGGAAGAGAATATCACAGGACACCAAGATGGAAACCATACCAAACTGTGAAGCTTGGTGAGTCTGCAAGCACGAACACACAATCATTTTGTGTGGTTTAAAGTTTGTCAAAAACGTATTGATTAACATTTTGTAGATTAGGTTATCGCACAAAGAAACGATGGTTGTTTTTTGGTGTGGATGCATGATTTGTCCACTCAAATTACTTTAACACTACATGTCATCATTCCCCCATTCACACCCATTGATACACGGATGGCAAGGGCTACCATGCAAGGTGCTACCTGCCCATCTAACTAACATTCACACACATATTCACACACCAATTTGGGGGTTGAGTGTCTTGTGTCCAAGGACACATCGACATGGACTAGCGGAGCCTGATTGAAGGATGACCCTGTCCACAGTCGCCCCAGACAATCCAAAACATCTCAATTCTATCAGAAACATGACCAATTCTTAGTGAGATAGTACTTCTGTACCATTTCTCTTTTTTTAATCAGCGAGCTGCGTACAGGGCATGAGCTTTGGACCGCGCCCGTCATTAAGAAATTAAAACCATCTTCCCACTCTTCTTTCCTCAGCGCCAGACCGTCAGCGGAAGAGATCCGTCTGTGGTCTCAGTCTTTCGACAAGCTGATGAGGAACCCTGCGGGTCGAAATGTTTTTCGGGAGTTCCTTCGGACGGAGTACAGCGAGGAGAACATGCTGTTCTGGCTGGCCTGCGAAGACCTCAAACAGGAAATCAACAAGGGCGCAATTGAGGAGAAAGCAAACTCCATCTACGAGGACTACATTTCCATACTGTCGCCAAAAGAGGTAGGAGTGCTGTGAGGTAATTGCGGATACACACCTCTATTTCGATCAAAGCTGTTTGAAGGACCAGCCTGCTGGTTTTGGAAGTTTTAGCTGCTATGACGGCTTCAAACTGAAGGTTCTTAGCGTACAGAACACTCTTATCACAGCAACGCTCTCTGGAACCTTCGGGTTAAATCGTGCATGACCCTTATATCTCTTGAATGCATCAGAAGAAAGAAGGGGGAGGAGGGCATAAAGATTAAAGAAGATTATTGCAAGTTAATCACTTCAGGATGATCGGGCAACGTTGCTGGAGTTCTTTTATTTATGGATTTTCTTTAGTAAGATCTGGCAGATGCATTTTGTTTTCCAGTGGGTTTGTTGCTTCATCTGTGCCGGACTGTCAGTTTGTCAGTCTGTCCAACATTTTTATTCACAGCATCACTATTGTCATAAAATGTGCTCTGTTGATTTATATGGACCACAGAGCTAATGATTTCCAGTAGAGCCATCATCAGGCAAGAATTCCTATTTGGGAAATGGATTGACGTCATGCTATAAAATTTACTGAGCGTGTCCGTCCTCCCCAGATCATGAATCCTTTTTGTTTTTTATGCCTCCGGGCCAGCGTTAGTCATGACATTTTATTATCGTGTTGGCAGTTCGTCCCATTCTTGTGAATGCAATATCTCTAGAACGCCTAGAGGGAACACAAACGTCCACTTGACCTTCAGGATGAACTTATTAGAATTTGGTGGTCAAATGTCACTGTGACCTCAAAAAACATGGTGTTTTTTTGCTTAAAAAAAATAGCCCCGTCCCTTCCTGTCTTGTAATACCACTTGTACCTTGAGAGGCGATAGTGAGGCACTGTAGTCTGACCTCAGTCGAACATGAGAGGACAAAGAAGTAGCGCTGACCTGAAGGCTCGTCAGTCACGTTGAAGGTACAGGGTCCGTGTACATTTTGATAGTTTATTATTGGATTAAATTCAAAGTGGCAGGAAAGGGAAAACGACCCACTCCTTATCTGCCACTTTGGATTTAGTCCAATAAACAAACTATCACGGCGTACACGGACCGTCCAGCCCTCAGTCCGGTTAGCGGCACACACTCACAGATGACTAATGTAAACTATAGCCTGACGCCTACAGTGAAGCAGTGTTGTTTTGACCAGCTCTCAGAATTTCAGCAGTTGGCTGTTATAACTGATTACTGTAAATCAGGATTGTATGGACCCAGTAGTAGAGGTGAAATGCCGACACCTATATATTTGGAGCATGTGGCTACATGTTACACGCTTTTTTTTTTTTTTTTTTTTTTTTACATTGAATTTTTTGTCATGCTGCACATTTAGTGGTTTTCATTTGTCAGCTGTGATGCACGTGCACGGTGTTCACACCAACACCCACCTCAAGAAATGTGAGCCCTGCTGATTGACCAAGTGATTATCGTTGGTGATAAACTTTAGACATACTGTCGTACAAACACACACTGTGAATGTGTTCAAGTTTTCCTGCTGCTGAGAAATGGGGAAAGCACTGTCGGCTTTACTGCTATTTTTAACTGACTGACTCTGTGTGTGTGTGTGTGTGTGTGTGGTTGCTTTATTTAGTTGGAGCGCTGGAGGCATTGCTTGTCAGGCTTCATCACAAGTGTGTACTTCTGTGTGTGTGTGTCTGTGTTAGCATGTTTAGACACAGGTGTCTGTACAGTTGCGTTAGTGTGTGTGTACAGTTTGTTTATAGGAAGCTATAAATTGCTGCTCTCACCTACTTCTGGCAGTAGAGGCTTTTTATAGACCCACACACACATTAGAATACAGAGGTATCTAGACGTGTGAGTCTGGCAGAGAAGATGCATGCCTGTCTGCATGTCTGACCTTTGTAGGATGCCTATCTCTCTTTGTGTGTGTGTGTGCGTGCGTGTGTGTGTGTGTGTGTGTGTGTGTCTTTCCTAAATAAGAGCGGAGAGAAAACATAGTAGACAGCTTGTCGTGCTATAAATATCTGCTGGTCTGTCTGTGGGGCCCTTGTGTGTGTGTGTGTGTGTGTGTGTGTGTGTGTGTGTGTGTGTGTGT